ATTGCTCTACAACACAGCCAACGAAAATCATTTTGATGTAAGTTTTCGATGTCAGGATATATAGCATCTATCAGACTATCTAAATTATAGACTATTTGCCCTAGAGACTCATCCAAAGTAACCGCTGAAGGTATGGCGACACAACCTTCGCTATCTTTTAGTCTGCTTCCTATGCTTTCATCGTCAAATTTTACTAATATGCAGTCCGGTAATTCTTCTTCTTCTAGTAGATTCCTGCGTAGTGATGGCCATTTTATTGTTTTCACAATACCCATAACACCATTGACGAACCCATCAGATACTGATATGTTACGTTTCGACATCACACGAGATTTGACAGCTAATTTTACCTCAGACAAAAGTCCACCACAATTGTTCACACCTTTTGGAACAACATTATCTGGAGGTCTATTTCCATAGGTAGCAACTTCACGAGACTCATCTATGGCATGGATTGTTTAGAGGCGATTTTGTTTTGAATTCAAGGCTGTCATCTCATTATTGTATTCGTCAACCTGTTTGACAGTCGGGAATATTCGAACCACTACACCATCCTTAAACTCTTCATCTAAAGCCACCATTCGCCTCTGACAGAGCAGTTCCAGTTGACTTGTTGTCAATTCGCCTACGTGTAAATTTTTTAACAGGTCAACAAACTCTGTATCATTTCGTTGTCTCATATAGTCGTTAATTCACAGAATGAAAATGCGTGCCATAAATTAACTTCTGCAGTATTCCAAGGTGGCTGTACAAAGCACCAATGTCCTTTTACAGGGGGCAGTTGCATGATTTCTCCAAAGAAAACAATATTTATGCCACCCGCAAATTAATCGTTCGTAAGTTCTCGTAAGAAACCATTGATACTTTGTCAATTACTAACCAACTTACGTTACGCCATTTACGTCTTTCCTGTTCTAGCTTTTCACCAGTTAAGCGTCTATATGCAGTTGAATACCTTTTTCGATGGGAAGAGAAAAATGAAAATGCAATGTTTTCCCAATGGCGGGCGGCTACACCAGTCAATGAATCTATTTTAACAAATTTAAGCTTTAGAAGCAAATCAATTGTAGGCGCATAACACCTCTTAATGTGCTCCACGAGTAATTTTAAACCAAATGATTTGCCACTGCCACCTCCTTCAGTTAGAAAAAGGAACAACCTTTCATCATGACCATGTAAATCATTTTCAATGGCTGTAGAAATTCTTTGAAATAAATCCTTCTGCTGTATGCTTAGACCTCTGATATTATTTAAAAAAAATATCATCAGGCATTGCACCTCTTTCTTCTACATCTTCACAGTAGTCGTGATTTTGATTAAGGACTTTCCATGACCAAATAACCTTGACCATTCGTTCCCTCTTTAGACGTACGTCGCTTTATCATAGAATTCACACAATTGTTGGAATTATTTTAATTAAAAAAGAAAAGCGAACTTTAAAAATTTATTATTTTCAAATTATATATCCAATAGTCTAATCCTCAAATGATTAGAGCGTTACCTTTAGCAACAGATGCCTGTAATCAATAATTTTAGTCATTTTTGAAAGTAGATTTTAAATGTATTTATAACACATAAAAACAAATTAAAACGTGGAATGTGATGATACGATATCGAACATTAATAATGTGCTTTTAGATGTAGTTTGTTTTTCATAACTAATGAGATAATAGTATCTGAATAATGAAGAAAAACGCACTATCGCAAGGTTTTGGTCGGGGTATCGCCATCCCTGATATTTTTGAAACCCGTTTCACGGGGAATATTTTCGCAACGCGTTTCACGGGCAACATTTAAAGCAGTTGCCTGGGCAAGTACCTGTTGAATGACCTGTTTTTTTTTTTTTTTTTTATAGGATAAGGGTGACAAACGAGCACACAGTCCACCTGATGGTAAGTGGTTGCTGCGGCCCATAGACATCTACATCTATCCTCTATTAGAAATCAAAATGTAGATGCGTTGTCACCCGTGAGGACTAAGATGGAATGCCTCATTTCCAGTAAAAAAGGCCTCCGGCCACCTGCACTCACCAAGCGAAACGCAGAGGTAAACCTCTACTTCACGCTGGTTTTCTGTGAGGTCGTGGTACCACCCCGGTTCGAGCCGGCCCATCCGTGCGACAGCAAAAGCTGCCGCGTGGCTCTACCACTGTTAGACTGTTACCTGTTCTGCATGAACAAAATCCTCGGTACTAACGTTAGTCAACTGAGGCCTTAATTCGTTTTTTGTCTAAGAAAACAAGTTATGGAGTCTCGTCTTCCAACATAAGTTGGTTTTCATCGCGAAATAGAATATGGCAAACAATTAAGCTGTAATAATACCCATCTTTGTCACTATTACGTATGTAGTAACGTATATGTAACACAGTTGATTTATTTCTTACTATGTAGCTAATTTGAAAGTTATCAAAAATTAAGCATTTAGTAATAAGTAGAGCCACGAAAAATTATAAAATAAAAACTTTTTAACAAAAAATTAAACCGCCGAAAAAACTGAAAAGCAAAAAATAATAAACCTTTTTTTATTTAACCTTAATAACTAAGTTCTTAAACTAATTTATGTATACCTAAGTATATATTTTTGTAATTATTTTGATTTTTTAATTAACCTTAATAGCTAAGTTCTAAAACTAATGTAAATATACCTAAGTAATTTTAAAAATGAATGAAAAAAAAATGTAAGGAAGACGAAAGTGATGGTGTTTGAAAAAGATGAGGCAGTGACAGACTGCAATATTGTGATTGAAGATGAACAAATTGAACAGGTGAAAGAGTTTGTGTATCTGGGTTCAAAGTTTACAAGAGATAGAAAGTGTGAGAGTGATATCGAAAGAAGAGTGAATGCAGGAAACATGGTGAATGGAGCTTTGCACTCCTTTATGAGCTATCGCAAGGTATCTAACAAGACTCGTTTGGCTGTGCATGAGGGGGTGTTGGTTCCAACACTCATGTACGGAAGTGAAAGTTGGGTATGGCAGAAGAAACATGAAAGATGAATAAATGCAGTTGAGATGAGAGTATTAAGAAGTATGATAGGAGTTAAACTGAGTGACAGGATAAGAAATAGTGAGATAATGAAACGTTGTGGTCTGAAAGAAGATGTAGTGACAAAAATTGAGAAAGGTATGCTGAGATGGTTTGGCCATGTCGAGAGAATGAATGAAAAAAGATTGACGAAAAAAGTGTATAAGGCGAGTGTGAATGAAAGTGTTGGAAGGGGTAGACCTAGACGTACATTTCTAGAGCAAATCAGGGACGTCTTGAAAAAAGGCCAGGTCAAGAGTACCCTAAACCTTAGAGCATGTATGAAGGGAATAATGAAAGTGGACGAAGCAAAACAAGTATGTAAGGATCGTAGCAAGTGGAAAGAAGTGGTCTCTGTCTACCCCTACGGGAAAGAGGCGTGATTATATGTATGTATGTTAAAGGTAAAAAAAGTAAAGTAGCAGCTAATATACGTCTCACTAATGTCCACAGGGCTCATCATTACCTATAGTGATTTGTGGGCAGAAAATTAGAATATACTGCAATGCTTTAATGCATATTAACTGTTATTCGTTACCACTTTAACGGACACGTGTTAAGTCAGCACGTAAAGTTTTCTATAACAGTTTTGCTCCCGTGCTACGATGAAATCTCACGACGAGAGCTACACGGCCCTCGTATTTGTTTAAATACAATTTCTAAAAACCGAAACTAAGCTTGTGTATGATTGTTGACCACATCTACCTAGTAATTACCCTTCCAACGATGCCACGAACAAATTTTCAATTATTTACATCGTAATTCAGTAACATTCTATTATTTAATGAGGGCTAATAATCTTCCACTCACCAGATGTCGCTAGTTGTGACTGAGGTAAAGTTTTTCGTTACATAGTATCAGTTAATTGAGAAATTAGTTTTAAATAATAGTTTATCATTATCTGGAGTATTATATTAATATACAACACTGAGTCAGTGGTTTGATTTTTAATTTTTTGCACTTTATAACCTTTTTTTAATTTTTCTACTTTAAGTTATATTTATAGTTTGGTTTATTCATTTCTAATGTAATTAATATAAATTTTTTTGTCAAGCTATATCATGAGATGGTCAACAAACAGTGCTAAATATCATGAAATGACCACACCATTTCACGAAATGATAGACTACTTTATGATAGGTATATGATCAATTCTACGATCTGGTCACGACATATATAAAAATATGTTTAATAAAGCTATAAAGATAATGAAAATTTTGCAATAATTGCAAACAGACCAGTTTTAATCAGTTTACATATAGATTAGTATAATTGAAATAAAAACCTTATCAATTTTCATATTTTTGATAGATTCACTATTATCTATTGACATTATTACACTTTTAAAATAAAATAACAAAAATACTAAAAAACTAAACGTTACAATTTTTAAATAATTTTAAAAATCTTATTATTTAAACATATACATATTTTTATTTATATTATTTAATTTATTAGTAACTGAAGCCAAAATATACTAATTTTTCCATTTGATGATAGATGGCGCTATTTCGATAACTACATCGGTGTATTTTAACCTTCTTTTTTTTAAGTTCCTACATACAAAATTTTATGTAAATTAATCCCGTGGTTTTTGCGTGAATCCAGAATACACAGACAGGCAAACAGACAAACAAAAAAAAATTCTAAAAACCACTGATTTGGCTTGAGAACCCTTTATTTAGTTCCCTGGACTTGTTTTTTCAAGAATATATTAGAATTACAGACACGACTTTTCTACAGATTTATTATATGTATATAGATGGGCCAGATCAAGCGTATGCTTAATCGACGATCATGTATGCGTAGGAATATGGATATAAAGGAGGCGAGAGAGGTGTGTCAGGATCGTACCAGGAACTTTTTGATTTTTCGGTCCTTAAAACCTAAAAGTTACAAGTCCTCTAAGCGTAATAGTTAGTTTATTGGTGCTTCAAAAACTATTGACACGAATCTCATCATGTATATTCTTTCCAGGCATGCCGTCTTCGATTCCGCTATATATAGTGGCGTTACTCGTCACTCTACAGCTTTGTCTATCGAGCGCCGTCGGGAATTCAGCCTTGTTTCAGCATTTAGAAGATTTGCTCAAGATACCCCGAAGTATATATTTTGTAACATTATATGCTCATACATAAAAAAAAAACTCTTCTTCATCTGATCGCGGAAGTCCAGTGCTAAACATAGACCTCTCCTGTTGTACTGGGGATTAGCTTTAATAGTTAGTTATGCATGGCGTAAATGAGATAGCATAACAATTCTAACAGTGGTAGAGCCACGCGGCAGCTTTTGCTGTCGCACGGATGGGCCGGCTCGAACCGGAGTGGTACCACGCCTCAGAGAAAACCAGCGTGAAGTAGAGGTTTACCTTTGCGTTTCGCTTGGTGAGTGCAGGTGGCCGGAGGCCCTTTTTACTGGAAATGAGGCATTCCATCTTAGTCCTCACGGGTGACAACGCATCTACATTTTGATTTGTAATAGATAGATGTAGATTTCTATGGGCCGCAGCAACCACTTACATCAGGTGGACTGTGTGCTCGTTTGTTACCCTTATCCTATAAAAAAAATATCGCCATCTATCGCCAGCCCTTAGATTTTTCCGGCATTTTCCATGATTGACTTTACTGCCAGTTGACCCACAGGTCGAAATGGGTTACTCAATTCTTTAACGCTGCCACATATTGCAAATATAACTCTTCAAACTAACAAAGTGCTATCAGAATCTCATTAAAGTATATTTCCTTACACTTCTATCGACTGTACTAAATTTTACTAGAGCTCCTTCTCTGTTGGGGGGTTGGGTTGAGTAGGTATAACTTTCATATAGTCATTCTGATTGGTGTCACCAATCAATATTAAGTAAATCAAATATTGTGTTTTCTGCTAACGACATGGGCTGATGTAGTCACATACCATTGTGACCTTTATTTTTATTCAATCGCTCACTACCCATTAAAAGTCTACTGCTGAACTATGTTCTAACCAATAGATTGTCTCATAGGCAGGATACTTGCCGTATTTTTTTTAATTACTATAAACCAGTGCTTAACTAGACTCCCACTTGGTGGTAAGTGGTGATGAAGCCCTAGATGATAAATCACACTGTCTTAGCCCAACAAAAGCTCATCCACCCTTTAAATTTGCCGGCTTGGCAGACGGGTTGGCAACCGCAGTATTTTATTATTATCAGGGAGATGCTGGCCCATCTTATGATTCAAGTTGCTTTGGTCGCCTCTCACGACACCCACGGGATTTTCGGGGTAGAGAATATTCTTACACCGCTCACACCATCCTTTATTATTTATTATCTACTAAAGGCATCTTCTTTGTTACTCATTTATTTCTATATTACATTACTATTAATAAAGTTACAGTCTATATAAGCTCCCAGAGTTATACACAGGTTTCCTGCCGTACCGCAAAGCTACTCTAGTCCGCGTTACCAAACTTTCCTAGTCCTAGAAATATTTTATTCCGTAGAAATTCAAGTTTCCTTCACCGCCAAGCACATGTAAAATGAGCAGAAGTGAAAAAGCCGTGCACAGGAATGGAGGACAGGAGAACACTCCTGTCCTTCTGTCCTGTGCACGGCTTTTTTACTACTTTAATTGGTGTAATGATAAAAAATATGTTTTATAATTTTTTTTATTCATAACAACTGCTAATTTCAGGTTTCTGCTTGCAACGCTGCTTACTACGGTCCAGTATCGTCGCCCTTTCTGTATTCCTCGGAGAATCTGTACCAAGATTTGACCTAGTAATGGGGCTTGTAGGCTCCACACTCACGGGCCCCTTAATGTTCATATTCCCACCTTTGTTTTTTCTAAAGCTTTGTTACCTCAAATCAAATAATATAAAACAATATTCCACGAGTAATAAACCGAAAGAATTAAACATGGCAGTTAATGGCTCTACTCAAAATGGCGGAAATGGTTTACAAAATGGAACGGATCTGTCGAATATACCGCTCATCCCTAAAATTAAATTTCCAATACAATATCAAACATTTGATAACAATGAAAGATTAGATCGAGAATATATTGATGAGTATGATGTGAAGTGGTATGACGTGATGTTTGCATGTCTTGTTATGTTATTTGGAATGTCTGCGACGATAGTGGCCACTTATTCTAGTTGGGCGGAAGCGATATCGTCCGCAACATTTTCACCGCCATGTCTTTTGAATGCCACGCTAGCTGCCAGAAGTTTTATACATAAACCTAGCGCGGTTTGATTTTATATCACATTTTTATAAAAAGTACTGTGTTCAATTATTAAGCCTACTTTATTTCGATACAGACCCATGTAACTTACTGTTTCACTGCCTGCATACATAAATAGAGTACATGAATACATACACACTCACGCCTGTCATCCAGAAGGGTGGACAGAGACTACGGACTTCCATTTGGCACGATCCTGACATACCTCTCTCGCCTCTTCCACATCTATATACTTATTCATATATGCTCATCGGTAAAAGGTACTGTTAATTTGACCCATTTTCAATATATCGCCTATTTGGCCGATAAACTTTCGCCTATGGCGGTTCCCCGGCTCTGCCGTTTACTTCTGCAACATAAATTTTGCTTTGTCACGCTTTCCACGTTCATTATTTCTACATGACTGAAGCATTCCTTTATTAATCCTGGTCCCAACATCATCTTGCAAACTACACTCTTCTCTTATCACACAATTTCTCACCCTGTCATTCATATTCAGTCTTAAAATACTGGGAGAGGCTCATATCAAGTAATGAAGTGTTGACGGACCGGTGAGAGACAGCATAAATTAAACCGGCACTGTGGCGTAAAGCCCAACAATTATTTATTAAAATACAGCTAGGAAAATTAGAATGTGAGTAGATATTTCTTAGGTACTAATAAACCCGCTAAGGATTATAAATAACTTGCGTTTACGCTCTGTTGAACTTTTGCCTTGTGTCTTTGTTATTTGATGGTACATTCAATACACTTTTGCAAACCCCAAAGTTATTATTATTGTGGAAGTAATAAATTGTTAATAAAACACGAATCAAATTTGAAATGTTTTTTATTTTGACAAAGGAAGTAATAAAACATTAAAAAGAAAAACAGTCATGAAGAAAAGTGACTTAAAACTAGATGATGAAAACAAAATGCTACAGCATCATAAAAAATCTAACAATTGTGATGAAATACCATGCTTTGGCTAATTATTAACATTAAAAATATAAAAGTACAATAAAAGCAGTTCGTATTTGTATTATTGTAGTTAAAAAATTTACAGTAAATATAAAATTTTTATAGACTATAGCTTTTTACCCGCGGCTTCGCTCACGTGGCATATTTAGCGAAATTCGATCACTTTCAGAGTCTGTGTCTCTGTTTGTCAAAGATTTTTTTAAATTCTAAAAGACTATTAGACGTAGATTAGGTATTTGGCATAGATAGATATAATATGCCACAGAAACACGTGAATATATATGTCTAGAAACACATACTATTTTTTATATCGGGCGTGTCTTAAGTCTTAATAAGAAAGGTAAATTGTATCGTAATCAAAATTTATTATTATCTATTATTTACATTTTACTATTTACATTCATTCATAATTAAAATTAATTTAGTTTTAACAAAATAATGATGAGTTTCACGGTCTTCTATCAATTTACGGCATAATGTTTATTTGAGATATTTTATTCATATCTATCATTGGTCCTATTTAATATTTTGATTGGCACCATAAAATAGATGTAAATATTTTTTTTTACGTTCGAGTTGACTTCAAAATTTAGTATACAGTATACTAAACATGGAATAAAACTAATGTTACGGATTTTATCACGTCTAATTTTAACTTTTTTACGTTAGGTTTTTTTACGCATCTTTGGATGAAAGTTCCATAAAAACCCGCGTAAAAGAACATATAGGTAGTTGATGTGAAACACTGTCGCTCCGGGAAGTCTAAAGTATGTCAACATGTTTAGTATCGTCCCAACCATTATATCGGATTTGATATACAAATCCTTGTAATAAAACACCGATTCCTACCAATGATGATTCGCGGGGCTATTGAAATAAAAAAAACACATGCTAATTTTAATAGGGAAGATGGCTGAGTGGTAAGATTTGCTAAGGGCGCCATAGTTAATAAAATAAAATTCAAACCCAAGCATACTCCTGCATTTATTCTATTACTATTATATTCTATTCTATTCTTATTCTATTCCATTCTAACTATGACATCAGGTCGTCAAAAACCTCAGTCCTACCGTGACCATGGGTGCTGTAAAGTGCCCAAAACATCGGGAATTAAAAAAGTTAAAATTAAACGCGATAAGATCCTTAAAATTAGTTTTATTCCTTATAAATTTTATTCACAGTGAACCTGGGAAGCACTACTCTTATGAACGGGAGTAGAAAAATGTTCGTCTTGTTGTGGCGGTGAAAGAGAATCCGCCACCTCATATCGTACCATCGTAAGCAGTAACATATGACCTAGGGCATGACATGACATAGGGCAGCATCATCTTTCTGACAAAAGATCAAAATAATAATAGCTGCGGTTGCCAACACGCCTACCAAGTAGTGTTGCCCAAAATCGCTCTTGGTCTTGCAGTCTTGGTCTTGTTCTTGCATTTTTGCAAGAAGCGTATGCTTAGGGAGTCTATGAGACACAAAAATATATAAAAAAATTTGGAAAATTGGACTTACGCGCATTACGAACAATACCATAAACATACATAGCGGATGAAAATATCCATTAATAGAAAAAACAGTGCATCCCTAGTTTTGACCATCGGCACTTTCATAGAGCGCGGCGTCTTGTTGTCGGCATCATCAAAGGTCGAATACAGACCTGTCAAAGAAATTTTGCAGCTATTCGGAAGTAAAAGGTTAAGATACACGCGCCGGCGGCTTCTATTGATATCGCATTCAATCGTCGCCGCCGCGCCGCACGCACTACATTTGACACTGTTTGAATGCCGCCACAGAGTACATGTTCCAAAGAATAAAATAAGTTTCCGGGTGCTCAGAATGGACACGAATACATTATGCTGATGTCGCAAGGAATATTATAATTAGATAATGGTAAGGATAGGTAGATACCATAATAATTTATTCTAGTAAGTAATTATTATAATATTAACTATATGGGTTTATAATAAATACTTACTATTATTATTATTACCTAATAGATAAACATGTTCAATAAGTTCACTGCAAATCTCGATTTTTGGAAGTGTATGTTTTTGATTGTAAATTGTAAACAATTTGTACAATGCTAATCGAATAATATAAAAAGTGTGCATATTAAATAAAAAGCGTAAAATAAGATCTATGTACTTTTTAGGAGCCCGAGTATCTCTTAGAGAACCGTTTAAAGATCGAATTGATGTATATAATAGCGATTTGCACAATTTTAATAGTAGAAATAAAAATAAAATCACAATACCTGCTTTCCGGTTAAACAAACGTTCTTGGGTAGCGATATACGCTTTTATAATAAGATTCCAATAGAAATGTTAGATCTTTCACCTTTTCAATTTAAGTCAGACAAAAATGCTTGGAACTGACCTCTCGTACTACACAGGACTAACTAGAAATTTCTAAACCGATTTGGTACCTACATATACATTTGACATTTTATGTTTGACTTATCGCTTTACATAATTATAGTACTATTGTAAAACTATTTTGAAAAGAGCAACTACTGAGTTTCTTACTTTCTTCCATGATTCTTCGCAGTAGAATCAGAACCACTGGACATGGAAAACAAAAAATTGGGGAAAACAGTGATTAAATGACTATTCAAAAGTGTATTTTTAATGCCTACTTGAATAAAACATATTTGAATTTTGAATTTCAAACGAGTGAAGGCAAATTTAATGTAATTAACGTAGATTAATTCAATCACAAGAAGAACATAATATACACAATTTTATTTACATATTTACATTTTATTTTTACGTAGGCACACTATACCTATCTGGCAACGCATCTACTTTATTAATCTTCTGAAGAATCGTTATTTTTATCAAAGAATGCCGAACTTTCCTTTGTCTTTCGGCGTGTACTTACAAATAGTAGTATTTATTTTAATTCCAGTCATTCCCAATTGAGCTTTGCTTCGAGTCTAATGTATTAATTGTTTTTACTCTAATCCTTGTTGTTCTCGGAGTGATAAGTTTACAATTTCACATGAGTGACGAAGAGTCGAATAGTTCTAGTCGGAGTAGTGAGAGTTGGAGTTATAGATCTAAAAGACCTAAAAGCAAATTTGATGAGTTTTTCGACATAATTCATGCATACCAAATTGCTTTGTGTAAATTATGCCAACATAAAAAGGTTGAAATAAAAACGAAAAACAAAAACACTTGAGGCTTAAGGAAGCATCTAATATCTTTCCACAAAAAGGAATCACTAATATTTCTTCCTGAAAAACCAAAATTAAGTGGAGTATCACAAGCTTTTTAATAACCACCGGAAAAAGTGGACAGGTAAGAAAAAATATACTTATCACACAATTACATAACACCTATATTATGTAACTAGCGGCCGCCCGCGACTTCGTCCGCGTACAATATCTGATTTCCTATGAGATTTTGAAATTTTCCCACTGCAAAAGTCTTACCTAAGTATAAAGAGGCTATATAGGTAAAGCTTAACTATGCAAGTATTTATTATTTAAAACTAAAAAAGTAAATGTCGATCTTCATATCTATACTTTAAAAATATAGGACTTGCATGTAACCATTTTACCCCAATTTCACCCCCTTAGGGTTAGGATTTCGTAAAACACCTTATTCAGATTTTATTATTGAAAACTTATAACTTTAATGCCGATTTTCGTGTCTCTAACTTCAAAAACGTAGGACTTTCATACAAACTTCCAACTCCCATTTCACTCCCTTAGGGATAGATTTTCTCAAAACCGTTTCTTAACTGATCTCTATGCCCTAAAAGGGACCTACCTTACGAACTTCAAGTTTGTATGTTTTATAGTTCCTGAGATATCGTTATAGTCAGTCACTGAGTGGTAGTTATATATATACAACACGTAACATAATTAACGCACTTTGAGAAAGTAGTTTGTTCAGAATCGTTTACTGAATCGATTTCTATCATTTTTAATATAGGTAATTTTTTATCCAAAAATAATTGAAACTACGTAATTTACAGTCAGACTAAACCTATACAGTCAATACAAACTGAAATGGACCGTAACTCAAGGCAATAAGACTTTTAAAAG